ACACAGTATTGGGAAAACAAAGACTTAAGTAAGAGTCTACTAAACTAAGCATGGCTAGAGTACCCTGTATTGGCAAACACTCAGCCCCGAGGTAGTGGCAGTCAGCAGCTTAAGAACACTCCACAGGTAATGAGGCAATGAGCTGCAGGTGTGCAGGGAGACCCAATGAGGACGGGGCACCACCTGGTGGAGGAGGAAAGGAAACACAAAAACAGACCACACAAACTGGATTCCTGACACGTATGCCAGCGTCTGCCATCCTTGGGCCGTCAGTTCCAGGTCAGTTATTTGATGGTTGACATCCGTTCAGTATCAGTTCCTCATCAGTCGTGGCGTCTAGCTGATCGTAAACCTCTGAGTAACTTCTGCGTAACTTCTGCGTAACTTATCAAGAATTTCTTTTCAACGCATATCAACGTATCTGACGTGTTCCAGACGAGCGCTGAACGTGTTTCTAACTTCCAGCTACTGTATAATGGCGTATCTCAATCTGCTGCTCTTTTTTTTTTTTGGCGGGCGGTAAACAGCAGCTAGGTTAATACAGCGATCAAAGACATCTTTTTCTGCAGCCCGGGTGCCTCCGGACTGGCTTGTGCATCATATCATGGGCATGATTGCTGTGCATTATGCATAAGTTACACACCCAAGTTATAAACCCAAAATTGGAAAAATACATAGAAAGTTCATCATATGCCAGCGTTTCAGGAGATTCTGGGACGTCAGGCATACGCTGGATAAATCAATCAGCAAGGTGTGACAGGGCCCCAAACAGGACAGACTGGGGAAAAACAATGAATGAAGCGTTAAAAAAAGAAAACTTTACCCATGATGGGAGTTCAGGAGGACAGTAAACGGATAAACCAAAATAATGAGGGTCAGACAGAGCAGGTAAGCTCAGCGTATCTCTCTCACCTGTTAGATAAAATTCCCAGATCTCTCTCTGAGGATCCCCTCTCTGCCTCAGTCAGCATAGAAACCATCCCACACCGTTATGGAAAGCAGTCTGCTCAGATCTACTCACCCTGCCTAGTCAGAGCCTCTCTATACGCAGTCAGTGCTACATGAAAAAAAAATCCGATCGGAGATTAAAAATTGGACGCAGCCACTGTGTTCGGGCCTCAAACCTGTTCTTCCAACAACGCTTTGGGTTTTATTCCTACTTTGCTGAAATTAAAAGGTCCTGAGGGAGCTGGAGGCAGGGCCGTCATTTAGAGCCCAGAGTAAATACCCACTTCATGTCTGTTGCCTTTAGCCTGAGGAGACTGAAAGATATAACGATGTCCCGTGTCCCCGTCCCTGTCTTCAGATGATTACGTCCATATCTCCAGCAACCCCTGTGACCTCCACTGCACCACCACCGACGGCCAGAGGCAGCTGATGGTGACGGCGCGAGACGGCACGTCCTGCAAGTACAGCAGCTACCGGGGCGTCTGTGTGGAAGGTACGTGTGAGGTGAGTGCCAGTTGTTTCTAACCTCCCAGCTGTCAGCTTCTAGTGCCAGGCAGGGCTAGGCTTCTCCGGGACGGAGGAAGCAAAAACAGCTTCATTTGGAACCTTGCTATCATTGAATAGGGTTCAACATGATGTTATCACATCATTTAAAGCTACAACAGTCTCAGCTTGCTTTCCATGAGGTTCAGCAGTGTCTCTGAAGTACACTGGTGAGGTCAGACACTGGTGTGGGCTGAAAAACCATCCTCGCAGGAACCACTCAGTTTATCTGAAAGGTGCTTAAGGGTTAGATATTTAGCTTTAACTGAAAGATCAGCTACTGGTGCTAAACTCTGACAGATCAAAAGCAGCATCGGTTTGGCTTCCACCTCTGTTTTCTTCCAAGTTTCAGAATTGTTGAGATCTCAGTTCTTTTTAACTGCAGTAAGGAGCTCAACAGATAAAACTCGGCTTGTAAAGCATCTGCTCAGATTGATTGAACTGCCGATTTAGGAAAATTGGGGCCCTAGCCAAAGACAGGCAGGGGGCCCTCTGAGTTAAGAAGACANTATATATATAAATTTATTTCCATTTAATTTAACACCTAAATGACAAAAAAAAAAACGTCTGAAGGAGACTAGTCAAAGCTGCTCTGTCGGCATTGGAAACATGGCATCAGACGCCATAGTGTCTTTGTTCACTTCTCTCCTCAGCAGCTTAGCATCTCCAGAAGAGCATCTCCTGACGTGGATAAGTCGCATCTGTCGATGCTGTTCTGACTGCAGCTTATAAAGGCCAGAGCATACAGAATCTGATTTTCAGCTGATTCGACAGAGAATCGTGTCAGAAGAGGTCGTAGCGTTTAGTTGAAAGTCAGTGGAGATGGTCACAGCTGACACGATTTCCTGCAGGGGGCGGCAAAGCTCCAACTGAGATCGAGCCCAGGTCTCTTTAACTCGGACTACGCAGCAATTCAGCAGCAATTTAATGGGTCTGACAGGAAGAGAGACTCAGTTACAAAGTAAAACATATCCGCTTTGGGGGAAAATACAAAATAAAATCTTAATCTCATGAGGAAACAGTCAGTTTGGAGTCGCACATTGCTTTTATATTTACGCCCCTGTCACAGCTTAACGATTTAGCCAAGCATATGCCTGACTAACAGAAAATCTGCCAAAAACACTGGCATATGTTGGATAAGTTATGGGTACGTTTTGTAGAAGCGATGAGCACACTGAGACACGCTGGCACATGTCAACATACAGCAAGTACCTCGAGATACCGTCGTATCGTCATGATTTAACCAAGGTCTGATCCCAAGATGCAGAAGACCAAACAGAGAGACCAGGGAAAAGTTTAAACAGGTTTATTTAGTAATGATGTGATGAATCCAGTGCTGCTCTGAGCACTGCTCAACAGGGATTCTCCAGGGAAAGGTGTCCTTTAAGGTATCCGGACTGTGAGGATAGTACCAGAGATTGTCTTGTTGGGTGATGGGTGGACTGGGTTACTCAGACTGCGG